ACAGTTAGCTTTATTACATTGTAGGGTAGTGTACTGAGATTTTGAAAGTTGTTTTTTTTTAGGGTTGGACCTGGCCGTTCTATAACTTTAATTGGTAGTTCAGGTTTCCTGATTATAGTTTTTATTTTCTTGGTGATAGTTTCATCAGTTAGAGGTGTTATAAAAATAACCTTTTTAGTGTTATCTTTAGAAAATAAGTTTTTTTTTCTCCTTGTTCATCTATGTTTTCTCATGTTGGAAGTGCGATGCTGATTTTTGTGCATCATTGTTCTTGAATATTTTTTTGATGTAAAAAGATGGATATTCATTGCTCAGAAGAAGTAATTTTTAGCATGTATTGTTTTCTTCACTATGGTTGTGATTGATTCTCTTTAATTCTTCAATAATTGCAATTCTCTTGGAAGCTTTGGGATGATGGGAGTTGAAGTTAAGGAAGAGCAGTTTTCTTATTGGTTTGTGAAACAAGGAAGATTGTATTTTATTGTCATTTATCCTTAAGGTAATGTTACTTGGGGCAAATTGGATATTGGGGTCTATGGAACTTAAAAAGTCTAAAAATTTGATTAAAGAAGAAAGTCTGTGGTTCTGTAGTCCAAACACATCATCAATATATCTAAGCCAGAGATCGGGGTCAGTGTTGGTGTCCTGATGCCACTCGTCAAGTGCTGTTGTTTCAAAAACATGCATAAATATTACAGCATAAATAACATTGTCTATATTAACAATTGAATTGCAGATATAGTTTGTTATTCAAACTAAAATATCCATCATGAAGGGTAAAATGTAAGATTTCTGACAGTGTCTATTGTCAGTCTGTACATCTCCAAATTGTTTGTGATTCGACATAAATTTGCACACTGCATTGATGTCATCTTCTGTTTATATAGACGGGTGAAGAGCTACGACATCTAATGTAAAGAGTATTGCTTTGTTTGTCACTGTGTGTGATACATTCTGTAGCAGGTCTTGTATATTATTTAAATGTGCTGGAATGTATTTTAGTAATGACACCAAAATTATATGCATAAGCCAAGACAGATTTTTAGTGGCACTGCTTTATACTGAGAATATGGGTTTCAGTGACATATTTGGTTTATGTTCTTTTGATAAACCGTATAATTCTGGGATGCAGTTATTAGAAGGTTTAAGCTCACCCAGTAGCTTCTTACGGAGGTTACTCAATTTTCTAAATTCATAGCTTTAGCTATAATTATGAATTATTTTATTTTTTCATCCTATGTAACTTTGATAGAACATTTGTTTACTACAGGTAACAGTTAATTATTTCAACAATAAGCTTTACTACTTAACCATTTCAATACCAGGTTGGTAAATGTGATGACCTCGTAATCGTTTTGTACTTGTTATAGTTTTCATGCTATAACTTTTAAATTAGTAAGCATATGTTAACCAAATTTAACAGATTATCAGTAAACATTACAATGCTTTCATATGCAAAATATCTAATTTTTAAATAAGGCTTAAGGTTTGTAAAGTAATGTTTTTCTCATGCCTTTTTTTTCACATGTTGCCTATCTATCATGCAAATAAATTCAAAACTGCATTTGATTCTTGAGATGATGATGAGTCTGATGTTGTTACACGGTACATTTTAAAAATTACAGTGAGGAGAAACTGTGCAAGATGGTTGAAGAGAGCACTGCAGAAGATCTTTGAGAACACATTTGTTTCTTAATTCCCCAATTTATGCAACATGGCTTTGTAAAACAATAGCAAGCTGCCACATACTAGGAAGAAAGGGAGGTTGCTGGATCTGGATCATCTGATGAATCTAAAGCACTGCTTCAGGTGGGTTACACTGAGAACTATACCTGCATTTATCAAGACAAAATTCAAAGTGCCCATTGGAAACAAGAGAAAGTCAGCATTTCCATTGCAGCCCTTTGGCACTCTGGCAGACTTCACTCCAAGGTTATTGCATCAGACAACTTGACCCATGCTGAAGAGACTCTGCTAGCATACATCAGCAGGTTGTTAGATTATTTACATACAATCATCATGACAGTATCCTTCTGGTCAGATGGGCCTGCATCACAATTCAAGGATCACTACAGAGCTTCAGCTCTTCATTCTCTGGAGGAAAAGCACAACATCAAAGTCCTTTGGCATTTTTTTGCCACCTACCATGGCAAGGGCCTAGTAGATGGTATAGGTGGTTCAGTGAAAATTCATGTTTGGACTTGCTGGTCATTAATGCAACATCCATTGTAGAAGCTGCAGCAAAAATGTCAAATTTTGTGGTGTCAGCAACTGAGATCTTTGAATGTAACAAGTCACAGAAACTGCATGTGGTGTTTGCAGTTGCCTCTGCTGTGAAAGGCATACCCGAGTTCATCACTTGAGGGTTAATGATGACTCTTACACTGACAAAGGATGCAGCTAGTAATCTGGCAAACTTGCTGCATTTGGAGGCAGGTGGGGTTGAAAGGGAGCATGACAAGAAGATTGTTGAGGTGAAAGAATGGTGTATTCTTGAGTACAATGGAGAGTTATTTCCTGGTGAGGTGACATCTGTCATTGAACAGAACTATGAGGTGAAGGTGATATTCAAGGCAAGAGGCTTCTGGAAATGATGAGCAGAGGAGGGCAAAATATTCTACTCAAAGGACAAAATCAAAAAGAAGCTGGATAACCAGTCCTCATTAACATGCATGGATATTACTGCTTTCCAGATTTTTCAAAGTTACAGTTGGGCCAAGGATGTTCATAACTGCATGTTATTTTATTGCTAGAATATGAATATGGTGTAGTAGGTCATTCGAATATGAAAAAATAGCATTGTGGCAGGCTGTGGTCATATTGGACAAATTGTAACACCAGTTATGCAGTGTTATGTAATCATTCTTGTAATCTTTCACTATTTTTGTCATGTTTAATCATGTATATTTTTGCTGATATATAGCCTCTCTTTCATGAACAGAATTTGTCTTGTACGGCTTGTAGTTTTAGGAGAAATTTGGAATAAATAGCTAGAAGTTTTCTATGTCCCATTCTTCTTTACATCATTCATGCTCAAATATTTGATTGATAACAAGCTATGAATAATTTGTCAATGTGTTTATGTAGAGTTTGGTACAACTTTGCTAGAGTAAAGAGATGAAGAATAAATATGAATTAACAATGTAACTAGACCAGAGTTTACTTCTCCCATGCTGTCAAATTGTAATGGCAGTCATGACAGAATTGTTCTTAAAAAAGACAAACTCAGACAAAGAGAAGGTAAACATGGAAGTTGTCCAGACTCTTCCTAAGGTAAACATACAAGTTGTCCAGACTCTTCCTATGGTAAACATACAAGTTGTCCAGACTCTTCCTATGGTAAACATACAAGTTGTTCAGACTCTTCCTAAGGTAAACACACAAGTTGTTCAGACTCTTCCTAAGGTAAACACACAAGTTGTCCAGACTCTTCCTAAGGTAAACACACAAGTTGTCCAGACTCTTCCTAAGGTAAACACACAAGTTGTCCAGACTCTTCCTAAGGTAAACACACAAGTTGTCCAGACTCTTCCTAAGGTAAACACACAAGTTGTCCAGACTTTTATTAAGGGAACTACACAGCTTAGTGAAATTAATTAAAAGCTATACTGTTACAAGAACTATTGAAAAACTAAAATTCTGGTCTTTCAACCCAAATGCTGTCTCAAATTCAAAATTTACTAACACAGAACTGTGACTGGTTCTTGAGAGATCAGCTAACCAATGGGCAGAAGGATAATAGGCGAGTCCACTAATACCTATTATCTGATTCAGTGATAGAAATAGTTCAACTCACTAATCAACTACAGTGTTGTTATTCCTGTAAGAGATTCGAAGAAATAAGCTTTGGACTTCATCTAACCCTGCTAACCACTTAATGAAACTCACTGCATCCAAAAGAGAAACTGTGAAAAACAACATACATTTGAAAGTTTTTCTTTTGATTACAAGTCTGGAAACTTATAGTACATCTTTTTTTGGTGCAACATTGATGTGATATTCCCAGCATTCACCATGTTACTGGCATTAATTGTAAAAATAGGGAGTAAACTGTTAGTTATTACAAAGTCCCCATTCTCTAATACCATAGTGTCAAAAATTCTGTATGGTCGCAGATCTTGAATGATAATATTTGGTTTATGACAGTATGATGTATTTTTTGTAATATGCAAATAATAAGGTGCACCTGCATAGCTCAGAACTAAAAATTAACCAAGTAGTGAGTAATTTAATGTTGAAATCAGTTAGAACAGATGGATCATGGTGTTTGGAAATTTAGTGTGCAACAAAAACAAAGATGTATCACATACGTACAGGGGCCCTCTAGTAATATAACAAATAACAGACTGTAAGGTGTTTCCTCAGGATTGTTTTTTATATATATATTTATTTACATATAGTATATAGGAAAACTATTTATTTATTGTATTTTAGTATGAAAATAATTTTGAAATTTTATACCTGATCAATACTACCAAGCCCCTCCCCCTTATGAAAATTGCACCGTGTACTTTTAATCTTGAAAATGCCCCTGCAGGTGTAATTCTCTCTTCTCTTTAAATGCTGTTCTTTATTTGACATAAATAACATATGACTAACATAAGAAATATGTAGTAAAATTAAAGCAAAATGAAGAAAAACAATTCATGTTTTTAAAGTTAAGTTTGTATCCACTTCTCTCTGAAGTTAAAACATAACTGAGAGAAACAACAAGCAGACTAATCATAATTTTCATAGGAAACAGAATGAAAAAAGCAACAGTTTTAAATACTGAAAAATTTGGTGGTTTATTCCTGTGCTCGTTTATTCTAGAATGGCTGTTATAAGCTCGTGTTTCAAGGCAATGCATCCCCAAGCTCCTTTGTTCTAGAATATTTTAACCTGGTCAACAGAATGAGGAAAGTTTTAGGTCTTAAGGTTTCCCAACTAGAATTAAGCTATTGATGGAGGTTTGGGTTGCCATCAACTTTATGTTGACAAGAACATTTTGTGTTTTATAGTTAAGAAGTGATATTTCCTCGACAGAGCCATCAGTTGCAGGTGGATCCACTTTGCCACTAAGTATGATGTCTCGAGTTTGGGAACCAGAAGCGACACAGTTGGCTTTACCCAGTAGTCATCCAATACATACATACAGTTCACGTTCACTGGAAACACATGCTGAACTCGCAACAGGTAAGTATCAGTTACAATCAGCCATTAAGGCACCCAAACAGAATCAAAATTCATAATTATGGCTGGGCATGAAGAGAACTAAAAAGTTTCTTCTTGATTATCATTTATAGAAATTATAGATTTGAATCCTTCTAATAAAGAATATGCACAACTTTCAACCATTATGATGAATACAAAACTGACTATAGCTTGTGGTTTCTTATGCTTAAGGCTTGTAATCCATGAGAACTCCATTTTTTTAGAACAGTAACACAAGTGGTAACCTTTGTAATGTGGAGGCATTCTGAGAGAGGGAACAATTATCTTATACCATGTTCTAAGTTGATCTGTAAACTAAAAATAGCGTTTTTATGAAATGGCCTTTTTAAAATAATACTGAATGAGAAAAGTGTTATTTTTGGATATTTCAGTAAATACACAAGGTAGAGATAACTTGGTTATACCTCAATTGTTTGCTTTTTGGCTTATTTTATTTTGTAAAAGTTTCAGTACCAAACAGTACTTTATGTTCAAAAAAATTTTATAATACATTGAATAATATCCCATTGATAACATAGTATGGATCACACTCTGGACAATATTACATTCATAATGCACTGCACAGCACTAATATCACACTGGATGACAATATTGTTAGCAATGGATTACATAACACTGATAAGACACTGGATGTAGATGGTAATACAGAAGATTAAAGTGGTAACCCTCCCAAATTTATCCTGTATTACCCCTAAGGACGACTGCACTGATTATAAACCAGTGCATGTATAACACACTGGATGGAGCAGCAATGATGACACACTGGATTGCACAGCCCTGACGACACACTAAACTGAACAGAATTGACACCACTGGATGACAGCACTGACAACACACTGGATGACAGAGCACTGATAACACACTGGACTGAACAGAATTGACAACACATTGGATGACAGAGCACTGATAACACACTGAACTGAACAGAATTGACAACACACTGGATGACACAGCACTGATACCACACTGGACTGAACAGAATTGACACCACTGGATGACACAGCAGTGATGATACACCGCTGATAACACTCTGAATGACACATCACTAATAACACATCAGAAGAAAGACCATTGATAACATATTGGATGTCACAGTACTGACAACACACTGGGTGGCATAGCATAGATAACACTGTATGACATGGCACTAATAGCATTAGATGACACGTCATACATAACACTTGTTGAAACAGCGCTGATAACCATACAAGAAACAGCACTGATAACACTGGATCACAACATCTGTAACAATCTGGATGACAGCACTGATAACACACCAGAAGAAAGACCATTGATAACACATTGGGTGGCACAGCATACATAACACTTGTCGAAACAGCACTGATAACCATACAAGAAACAGCACTGATAACACTGTGGATCACAACATCCATAACAATCTGGATGACAGCACTGATAACACACCAGAACAAAGACCATTGATAACACATTGGGTGGCACAACATACATAACACTGTATGACATGGCACTAATAACATTAGATGACACAGCATACATAACACTTGTCGAAACAGCAGTGATAACCATGTGGATCACGACATCCACAACAATCTGTATGACAGCACTCGTATCACTGTGGATCACGGCATCCATAACAATCTGAATGACAGCACTCGTATCACTGTGGATCACGGCATCCATAACAATCTGAATGACAGCACTCGTATCACTGTGGATCACGGCATCCATAACAATCTGAATGACAGCACTCGTATCACGGTGGATCACGGCATCCATAACAATCTGAATGACAGCACTGATGACACTGTAGATCACAACATTCATAACAATCTGGATGACAATACTAATAGCATACTGGATGACAGCACTGATAACACTGTGGATCATGATCTCCATAACAATCTGGATGACAACACTGGTAACACTGTGGATCATGATCTCCATAACAATCTGGATGATAGCACTGGTAACCCTGTGGATCATCATGACCATAACAATCTGGATGACAGCACTGATAACACTGTGGAACATGTTGATCATAACAATCTGGATGACAGCACTGATAACACTGTGGATTATGATCTCCATGACAATCTGGATGACAGCACTGATAACACTGTGGATCATGATCTCCATAACAGTCTGGATGACAGCACTGATAACACTGTGGATCATGATCTCCATAACAATCTGGATGACAGCACTGATAACACTGGATCGTGATGTCCATAACCATGAATGACAGTACTGATAACACTGTGGATCATGATGTCCATAACAATCTGGATGACAGCACTGGTAACACTGTGGATCATGATCTCCATAACAATCTGGATGATAGCATTGATAACACTGTGGATCATGATGACCATAACAATCTGGATGACAGCACTGATAACACTGTGGAACATGTTGATCATAACAATCTGGATGACAGCACTGATAACACTGTGGATTATGATCTCCATGACAATCTGGATGACAGCACTGATAACACTGTGGATCATGATGACCATAACAATCTGGATGATAATACTGGATCGTGATGTCCATAACCATGGATGACAGTACTGATAACACTGTGGATCATGATGTCCATAACAATCTGGATGACAGCACCTCTGACCTATTGGTCAACATCACTGATAACTCATGGGATGAGATATCACTGATAGCTGTGTATCAGAACATTGATAAATAACACACTGAATAACATAACATTGATAACAGACTGGGTAACAGGAGGTAGCACTAGGCTCACATGAGAGAGCAGGACAAAGTGTTTGGATCTTGATCCTCATTAGGGAAATTTGATAGTTTTAACATGCTAGCTGATAGGCACAACAAACAGATGTATTAAATCACTTGAAACAAGATTTTTGTGAGCAGAAAGGGAATGCGTCCATAACATTCTGCAAATAGCTAAAGAATAAGGTTGGGATCTGTAAGTTAACCTATAATATACGTGCAACCAACTCTCATAAACTTCAGAAATTTCAAACAAAAAAGGCTCTCATTTTAAAACTTAAAAACAATGGAACGTTATTTCACGTACTCCGGAAGGAAAGCAAACATTCTCATATAAGTTTGATCTTAAACTGAAAAGTGTATTTAAGGAATAAGAAGAAATCAGAAAAAACAAAATATTCTCAAGTTCAACTGAAAAGCCACCAAAGTAATGAGGAAATAAAGATTCATATCAAGAACTGATATCAGTATGTAAAAAATCTTAAAGGATTTAATCAAATGTAAACCAACACATGGTTGGATAAAGTGAAGACTAACAATTCCATGTGATAAAAAACATAACATGGTTAGATAAACTAAGGACTAATGATTCCAGGTAATAAAAATATAACATGGTTAGATAAACTAAAGACTAATGATTCCAGGTAATAAAAAACAACATGGTTAGATAAACTAAGGACTAATGATTACAGGTAATGAAAAAACATACGAGGTAATGAAACATTACATTGTTAGATAAAGTGAGGACTAATGATTCCAGGTAATAAAACACAACATTGTTAGATATAGTGAAGACTAATGACTCCAGGTAATAAAATATTACACTGTTAGATAAAGTGAGGACTAATGACTACAAGTGATGAAACATTACATTGTTAGATAAAGTGAGGACTAATGACTACAAGTAATGAAACATTACATTGTTAGATAAAGTGATGACTAATGATTACAGGTAATGAAAAACATAACATTGTTTGATAAAGTGTGGACTAATGATTCCAGGTAATAAAACACAACATTGTTAGATATAGTGAAGACTAATGACTCCAGGTAATAAAACATTACACTGTTAGATAAAGTGAGGACTAATGACTACAAGTGATGAA